TTAATCCGATTTGTTGTTTTTGTCCTTCGCAGCCGTAATATGCACTCTTTTACAACAGTATTTGGGGAAATATATCAAATACAGCCCTGAAATACATGTGCCAAATTTTATCGAGATCGGTTCAGATTTGGATATAGCTCCTATATATAACTTCGTCCGATTTACCTTATATTGTGCACCAAATGGGATGGAATTTAGCACTTAGGACCGAATTATAGAAGCTAGTATGTCAAATTTGGTGAAGATCGGTTCAAATATAGCTATAGCTCCCATATATACTGTTCATCCGATTTGTTATATTTGTTACCCACAGGCGTAATATGCACTCCGTAACAACGATATTCAGGGAAATATGTATCAAATACAGCTCAGAAATATCTTTGCGAAATTTTATGGAGATCGGTTCCGATTTGGATATAGCTCCCATATATATCTTTATCCGATTTCAAATTAATTGTGCACCAAATGGGCAATACAAGTCCGAATTTAAAAGATACAAATTCTTCGGCATATATACATAATAATAGCGTGTATGATTGAATTCTCCCATAAAAACATTTAGTTTAATATAGTGGTGTAGGGTATCATAAAGTCGGCCCGCCCGACTTAAAGACTTTCTTTACTGTTTTTTTTAATTATGAACATATACAATTTTGACCACTCGTGAAGGAAGTACCACATAGAGTGTGCCCATGCTTTTGATATTCGAATGTGATAATAATTATGATGTGCAAATTCGTAATTCAAATACTCCCTTCACTGTATATGAGATTTATAATTTTTTTGTGGGGTATAAATATAATAACCATACATATAACAAACAGAAGAACAACAATTGGGTACTTATCTTTCTGAAAATGTTTTCCAAATTAAATCATACCACTTTACTGATTGATGTTCTTAAAGATTGTTGGTAAAGGTGGAAATTTCTAAAAACAAGTAAAAGCGACTGTAAATGAATATAGAAGTTTGCTTACATTCTATAAATTCAATTACCCAAACGAAAGCGGTAAATTAAATAAGAAACGTGAGAAAATGTACAACGATAAAAAAGTTGAGCTTAATATAAATTGAAATGGGATAGGCAAGTTGAATAAAAGAGATGCCAATGCGGAGTATCTTTTGTATACAGGCGGTATTTTTATCGGCATTATTGCATAAAATATATATAGATTTTTCACATTATTGGGGCTATTATATGGTGTACCGTTATCTATATAAATAATTCCCTTCTGGGGGATAGTACTCAAACGGTATTTGTGGGAATTTTCAGACAATTCCATTGGAAAATGTGGCTAAAATCACCAAAAGACTGAATATCGGGGGTACCGTTATATGGGGGCTATACGATATCGTGAACCGATATTGACATGCCTACACACAAAAGATTGATCTGTGCAAATTTTTAGCTTCCTATTTCAATTCGTTTTGACTCTAGCGCGATTACGCTAATTTTACGCTGATCAAGAATATAAACACTTTGGTGGGTCTAAAATTACTATTTCGATGAGTTACAAACGGAATGACGAACTTAATATACCCTCCATAGTATGTATGGTGGAGGGTATAAAAATATAAACATAACATAAATAACAGACACGTCTTTCTCTCTAATTTTCCAGTAAGAGCTTTTGGAGAATAGGATAGGTTTCTCACGTTCGCATGAAAAAGGGTGAATTAAGTAAAATATAATATAAACCCCTGCAGCTCAAATCAAAGGCAGCATAAAATCAAAGGCATAACATTTTACTAGACATTTTTTCTCCAATAACATTTAGTAATTTCCTGACTCGCAAAAGTCAACATTTCTCTCGCAGTAGAAGAAATCAAATATGAAAGGTCATATTTTTATAGCATCCAAACTTAAACTTTTTTATTCATTATCTTAAAAGAAAGTAGAGTTTTCAGTTTAACAAACTTGGTTCGGAATATGCAGAAATCAGAGCATTCGTAATAGTTTTTTTTTTTTTTTTTTGTATGTGTACCCTTTTGAATACTTACTACATAAATATTGGAAAAGTCGACTAAATCCTCTAAAAATAAGCCGTGTTGGACGGTAAAGTTATGGGCCTTCCGTATTGAGTATGATCGGAGAAAACTTAAAAAATCTTTAATTTTTGGTCGAATTTAAGGTTCCATTAGGTTTGTCTGTGTTGTGTGTATTTATGCATAAAAGGTATGACGTATTGAGACGTCATTTTAACAATTTTTTAAATGTAAATATTAATATTTTTATTATGTGTTCCTTGCTTTAAAAGCCTTAAATCCCCTTTTTTAATTTTACTACTTTTGTATCGATTATTTTTAAATTAACCAGTGAATTGTTTTTTTACCTTTAATTTAATTTTTTATTTATGTTTTTAGTTGGATTAAAATTAAATTCATATATTTTTATTCATACAAAACAAAACATTTGCCCCTATAATATGGTAGTACACTGTAATAATAATAGCATTAATAGGCGCCAACAACTCATGAATACTAACTGAAATTTCTTTGAGTGGAGGTTCACTCTCTCGCATCAATACACATTCATTTTTAGTTTTTAGCATCCCTGGTGTATACACAAAAGTCCGGAAAAAGAGAGAGAGAGTTCCTGGATTTCTCTGGAGATATTTGTTCAAACTCAGGGGGCTTGTTTTATTATACCCTCCATCATACTATTGAGGGTATATTAACTTTGTCATTCCGTTTGTAACTCCTCGAAATACTCATGTCAGACCCAAAAAGTATATATATATTCATGATCAGAGTAAAATTCTAAGTCGATTTAGCGATGTCCGTCTGTCTGTTGTAATCACGATGTCTGTCTGTTGCACACATGTTTATTTTGCCAGTAGGCAGGTTATGTTCGTAAATGGGATATGTAGGTCCACGTTTTTATATAGCCCCCATATAGCGATTTTGTTTATTTGAATTTGGCGACTATATTCACCGGAAGAGTTTCAAATTTGGTATTTGAAGTTCAAAATGGATGAGCAGGTCCACGTCTTCATATAGCCCCCATAGAACGGTACCTCGCTATATTCGGTATTTTGATAATTTAAGCGACATTATTCACCGGAATTGTTTCAAATTTGGTATTTGTAGTTCGTTATGGAAACTACAGTCTGTGACAGAAAATTGTGTATTCAGGTCCAGGTCTTCGTATAGGCCCCATATATCAGTACCTCCCTATATTTGGTATTTTGACGATTTTAGGTACAATACTTACCGACATTGTTTGAGATATCGCATTTGAAGTTCGTTATGGATGCTACAGCCTGTTACAGAAAATTGTCTATGCTGGTCCAGGTCTTCGTATAGCTCCGATATAACGGTACCTCCCTATATATGGTATTTTGATGCTTTTAACTCATTATTCACCGTTTATTTCTTTTGAATTTGAATATGGTAATAGCTTAGGACAAACAAAGCATAGGTTCACGTCGTAGAGACCCCAATGTAACGGCTCTATTTAGTATTTTTAAGATTTTAAAATAATTTTTAACGGATTTTATTTTTATGAAATTTTCCTAATTCATTCCAAATGGTGGAGGGTATTCAAAGTTCGTCCCGGCCGAACTTACTTTTTAACTTGTTTTTTAAATAAATTTTGTTTAAGTATGGAATTGAAATGTTGCCCTATTTTACAAAGTTTAGCTTTCTTCTTCAACCAAAACCTTATTAATGTTATTAATATAACAATACACATTAATAAAATATGCACATGAAATATTCTTGTCAATTCTTACTAAACGTCGACTGTTTACTTTGTGGAATATTCTTACTTCGCTTCAAGAAGTTCCTCAGTAAAACTTTATGGGAAAGTAATCAGACATACCTATTGCCATAAGTAATGAATCATATTTAGATTAACAAGCCGTTAAACCTGAAACTTGATATGTTGTAGCTTTTACAAAGACTTGTCGTAACTGATAATTTTCCTTGATTTATTAAACCTTTGCAAAATACACTTTTCTGGCGAGATTATAATCGAACTCGCCAGTGCATTTCGGTAGTCCACTCAGAAAAAAAAAACATTATTACAAATCGCATTTTAACCCATAAATCCATGCCACTCGAAAAAGGTAGGTCCTTAGAGAATCGTTAAGAGCCAAGTGATTAAAATAACGTCATTGCAGAAAGTATTTCTATATCCCGCATCTCTTTAATAATATATACGTCGTTCTTTTTTAAGCTCAAACCCATAGTGCCCATGATTCAGCAAATAGATATTAGCATACAAAAAGTTAAAACCCCGTTAAGTGATGTTTCTTTTTGTTCTTAAATCTGCAATAGTCACACAGCAAACGCTTGGTTGTAATAAATTTTCTGCCTTGCAAAAATTATACGCAATCACTTAGCCGAAACAATAATCTGAGTTGGGTTCTATTCTAAAAGAGTTTACCTTCAATTTATATGTAAATAATTTAGGGTTTAAAATAAAATAAAATGGAGCAATGCCCCAAGGGCTACCAGCATTTGGTGTATCATTTCGGATTCGTTTGATTTGAATAAATAATAAATTATCATAAAATGCCGACCTTTAAGTTCCTTTGTCTTTGTTATTTATCCCAATTTGTCCATAAAAATGAAATGGTCCATCATTCGACGCTTTAGTTGCGGTTGCTACAATCATCTGCGAGCGTGTTTTTTTTTTTTTTTTGCTTGCTTGTTTGTTTGAATTTATTTCGTGGTGCTTAACTCTCGAAATCTGGGGATTTGTAAAACTGGTCGTTTTTGTCATCCCTAGTCACGGCACAGATGTCGTACATTGTGTTCGGGAGCAACTTGATTTGCATTTTGAGCAAAAGTGAAAAGGATTTAAATTGTGTTTCGATAATTTCGAATGACAGCGGCAGGGTTCTTCTGAACGTTTGCTGATTGGTTATTGATGGAAGGCTGCGATCGATGTAAATGTGTAATTCCATGTTTGTCGATGTGAACAAGCATGTGTTGTGTCACCGTGTAAACTGTACAACAATGTCATTGTGTATGAACGATGAGTGGCTACATACCTGCAAAGCATTCGGCCACATACAATTGTCTGGTGTATTGTCATCGTTGTCACTGCTTGTTGTTGTTGCTGTGGATGCTGAAGCATCATCCGTGCTCGTGGAAGCACCTAGACTGCCTGTGGTGCCACTTGCGCCCGTGAATTCAGATAAATGTGCGCCATTAACATAACGATTTGCGGGTACCTTTTGGGTTGGCGAGCCAAACGTAGAGCCACGTAGGAGGTGTTTAGCTTTAGAACGATTTTCACTGGTTCCTTCGCTGTTGGCAGGACACAACTCCTCGATACTTATGCCATCTATTGAAATAGAGAAAAATAGAAAATGGAAAACTATTTTAAAATTCAAATAAAACACAAAGCTCTAGAAGCACGAAGCATTTGTTTGGATGTACATTGATATATTGCGCAAATTAAATAACTTAAAAAGTAAACAAGTAAAATGCAGTCCTCCACTATTTGGGTGGAGGGTATCATCATTTTGCACCGCCACCGACCTGTACTGCATTTACTTGTTTAGTTTGACGGGTATTTGAATGTTAAACATTGTTTATGAGAAGAAATAAAGCTATTCACTTATAACCGAAAATATAGAGAATATGTCCCAAGAAGTTTTGGTAGATTTAATAAAAAATGTTGTGATAACTATCAAATATGGGAAAGTAATAGTAACTTTCTGTATAGGAACTGCTGCTCTTTACGAACTTCAAATGACAAATTTTAACAAAATCCTTGATAAAAATGCTACATATGAATTGAACAAGTTTGAAATGATGAATTTATTTGGCAACAGATATTTACCATCCGCATATTAGGTCAATACACTGCCAAATAAAAACGTTTATGTCTCTGAAATTAATGCGACATTTACAAACTATTTTAATTTTGGGATTTGGAAGAAAGAAACATATTCACTTCATCTTCAAACACGATATTGTGCAACATAACACCGCACACAAAAACCATATAAAACGACATGCCACCTCCGCAGCATGAAATAAAAACAAAATATGATAACACGTTTTCCATCGTTTTACCCTTCACTTCTACTTTCCTAATTATGAGATTTAAAAACATTTTTTCAGGCTCATGTCTTTCAAACAGGTAAGAATATTGATTTTCTATTGGAGGCAAAGTTGTAGCTTTTCTTATAAAAACAATAGTCTTTGACAAATATCGGTGGGTACCATCAAATACCAAAAAAAATTGTTTGACATGAAGGTCTCAAATCTTTAGACCCCATAAGCGCAATAACAAGATAGTGGAAATAACTACGAGAAGTGTGACTTTTCACACTACTGTTTTTTTTATGACTAATGACATTTAACGCAATATCGGATCTAGTATAGACAAAATATATAAAATATTATGATTTTCGAGTTATAACAATTTAATTATAACAACAATTTAATATAGATAGAGCGATGTGCAAAGTTCGGAGTTTGGTGGTGGACTCTGTTCGCTTTACATACGATTTTTTTAAACATTTTCTCATGGAAGTACAAAAAGAGGCGACCGACGTATCCCATCTATACACCGGCTCTCATATTGAAAGAAATATTCGGTAGGGAATTTTCAATTTTATAAAGGACATTATTATTTTCACCATACCATTTTCTTATGTAAGCGTGATTATTATTATTCTGTGACAAGGTTGGACATCACCACAATTGCGAATATCGAATATACATAAACGTTGACCTATACATACAATGTTCCGCAACCATACTATGGAGGGTATATAAAGTTTGTCATTCCATTTGTAACACCTCGAAAGATACATTTCACACCCCAAAAAGCTTCAGTCTGTGGAAATCAGCTCTAGCTTCCGAACGAAATAAAATAGGTTGATAACATTTTACTCAAATGTGTATTAGGTCTGCAGGACTTTTGGTACAGCAAATGGGGCATGTAGGTCCACGTTTTGGTATAGCTCCCATATAACAGTACCTGCCGATATTCAGTAATTTGATGAATTTAGCGACATTATTCACCGGAATGGTTTCAAATTTGGTGTTTGAATTTTAATGGATACTATTTCCAACATATTGGGAGCAAAAACTAAAATTTTACAGAAGGCTGAACTTAATATACCCTATGGTGGAATGGCGTAAAATTCTAGGTCGATGTAGCAATGTATAGTAATGTCTGTCTGTCTGTTGTAATCTTTGGAACGAATTTAAATAGAAGGCACACATGTGTATTTTGTAAATGGTAAATGGGCCATGTCGGTCCGAAATTGTTTCTAATTTTACTACGATTTTAAAAAAATAAAATATTAAAATAAAATATTTGTTAAGCGTTGTGTACCGGTACGGTACATTATCGTAGTGTCCACTTCACCTCAGTACGGTACAGAATACTACGGTACAGTACCATACTTTTTATTTTCGAACGCTGCTTAAGACTTGCACATTTTTATACCCTCCACCATACTATGGAGGGTATATTAACCTTGTCATTACGTTTTTAACTCCTCGAATTACTCGTGTCAGATCCAACAAAGTATATATATTCTTGATCAGCGTAAAATTCTAAGTCGATTTAGCGATGTCCGTCTGTCTGTTGTAATCACGCTATCTTTCGAATGAATTGAAATAGAATACTACAATTTTGCCCACATGTTTATTTTGACAGTAGGCAGGTTATGTCCATAAATGGGCCATGTGGGTCCACGTTTTTATATAGCTCCCATATAACGGTACCTCCCGATATTCGGTATTTTGATTATTTCAGCGACATTATTCACCGGAATTGTTTCAAATTTGTTATTTGAAGATCCAAATGGATGCTACAGCCTAAGACAGAAAATTGTTTGTGCAGGTCCACGTCTTCGTATAGCCCCCATATAACGGTACCTCCCAATATTCGGTATTTTGATGATTTTAGCGCCATTATTCACCGGAGTAGTTTCAAATTACGTATTTAGAGTTCGTAATGGGAACCACAGCCTGTGACAGAACATTTTCTATGCAGGTCCAGGTCTTCGCACAGGCCCCATATATCAATACCTTCCTATATTCGCTATTTTGACAATTTTAGGCGCACCGAAATTGTTTAAGATGTCGTATTTGAAGTTTGTAATGGATGCTACAGCCTGTGACAGTGAATTGTATATGCACGTCCAGGTCTTCGTAAAGCTCCGATATAACGGTATCTCCCAATATACCGTTTATTTCACGTCTCGAATTTGAATATGGTAATGGCTTATGAGAAACAATGATAGACCCCAATATACCGGCTATATTCGGCATTTTTAAGATTTTAACAGAATTTTAACGGATTTTATTTATTGAAAATTTCCAAATTCGTTCCAAATTGTGAAGGGTATCCAAAGTTCGGCCCGGCCGAACTTACTGCTTTTTAACTTGTTAGATTTTCTTTCATTATCGGAGATTCTTGCAAAAAGTTGAAATTTGATGCAGATTGTTTTCAAATATGATGGTGGGTTGAAAATTCCTTTACGGCATGAAAACCTCTTGTGGGTGCAATTCTGATAATGGTTAAACAATTTATTCCTAGCACTGACAGCATATTTCAATTTTCCTATTTTTATACCCTCCACCAAAAAAGGTATGGAGGGTATATTAAGTTCGTCATTCCGTTTGTAACTCATCGAAATAATCATTTTAGATCCAACAAAGTATATATATTCTTGATCAGCGTAAAATTCTAAGACGATTTAGCCCTGTCCGTCCGTCTGTCCGTCTGTTGTAATCACGCTACAGTCTAAACGAATTAAGATAGGAAGCTAAAATTTTGCACAGGTCTCTCTTTTGTCTGCAGGCAGGTCAAGTTCGAAGATGGTCTATATCGGTCCACGATATCGTATAGCCCCCATATAACGGTACCCCCGATATTCGGTATTTTGATGATGTTAGCCACATTTTTCAATGGAATTGTCTGAAAATCCACACAAGTAGTTCCTTGTGGGTACTTTATACCTCGGCAGAGAATTATCTATATAGGTCCACAATATCGTATAGCCTCCATATAACGGTACCCCCCAATATTCGGTATTTTGATGATTTTAGCCACATTTTCAATGGAATTGTCTTAAAACCCACACAAGTAGTTCCTTGCGAGTAATTTACCCCCTGAGAGAGAATTGTCTATACAGGTCCACGATATCGTACATCCCCCATATAACGGTACCCCCGATATTCGGTATGTTGATGATTTTACCCACATTTTTCAACAGAATTGTCTGAAAATCCACACAAGGAGTACCTTGTGGGTACTTTATACCTCGGTAGAGAATTGTCCATACAGGTCCACGATATCGTATAGCCCCCATGTAACGGTACCCCCACGGTATTCGGTATTTTGATGATTTTTGCCACATTGTTCAATGGAATTGTCTGAAATTCCACAAAAGGAGTCCCTTGTGGGCATTTTACCTCCTCAAAAAGAATTGTCTATATAGGTCCACGATATCGTATATCCCCCATATAACGGTACCCCCCGATATTCAGTATTTTGATGATTTTACCCACATTTTTCAACGGAATTGTCTAAAAATCCACACAAGGAGTTCCTTGTGGGTACTTTATACCTCGGCAGAGAATTATCTGTATAGGTCCACAATATCGTATAGCCCCCATATAACGGTACCCTCCGATATTCGGTATTTTGATGATTTTACCCACATTTTTCAATGGAATTGTCTGAAAATCCACATAAGGAGTTCCTTGTGGTTACTTTATACCTCGGCAGAGAATTATCTTTATAGGTCCACGATATCGTATATCCCCCATATAACGGTACCCCCACGGTATTCGGTATTTTGATGATTTTTGCCACATTTTTCAATGGAATTATCTGAAAATCCATACAAGAAGTTCCTTGTGAGTACTTTACACGCAGACAAAGATTTGTCTTTATAGGTCCACAATATCGTATATCCCCCCATATATCTGCACCTTCCTATATTAGATATTTTAAAGATTTTAAAAGAATTTTTATTGGATTTAATTTTTTTGAAAATATTCTAATTCGTTCCAAATGGTGGAGGGTATTCAAAGTTCGGCCCGGCCGAACTTACTGCTTTTTTACTTGTTTTCATATAAGCTTGTCATTTGAATAGGTATAAATTGGTATCTTGTGTCCTTAGTGCCAATTTAATTGTTTTATTAGAAACCACTAATTTGGAATATAATATTACCAAACGGTTTTCTCTACGTTAAAGATTTTTAGCTTCATTTTTGCATAATTTTCGGTTTCCTTTGGAAAACTTATTAGTAAAGTGGAACCTTCAAATAACATCAAATACTTTGTAAAGCTTTAATCATGTTTACTTG